ACTATGAGAAAAAGCAGAGAGAGCAGAACGTTAGAGATTGAACTAACAGATTCTGCAGAGTGGGAGAATAGAGATAGAATGAAACAAGGATTCTTCTTCTTCTTCCTCTCAGATGTAAACTCAGCAGCATGGCGGGGGTGCAATGAATGAAATGGAGTTCTTTCTGTAAAATTAACAGACTGTAGTAGCCATGTTAGCTCAGCCACGTCTTTGTCCAAATATGTCGTCTCCTTTTCTTTTTAGGGCTTTCAGCACAAAATTGCCCAAACTGCCAAGGCAGCGCGTTTCACTCTAGTGAGCTTCAGATTCCTTCGTATTCATATTCATTTAGCTTCTGGATAGAGGATTTAGGCTAGCGCCATCTCACTGCAGAGCTGAGTCCAACGTTTCTTTTTTTTTAGTGTGAGCAGGTAGATCGCATCAGAGCGTCGGGTCGCACGGCGTGAGAACAAACGTCGTGAGCCGTGAACTTTTAAACCCTGCTGTTTCATCTTACAGTGCGAGCTGTAGCTGCGTGCAACGATTGAAAAAATCCCAAACAGTACGCCCTTTAGTGAGTTTGTTTTTCCATTTTAATAAAAATAATTTTTGCTTTCCTTTTTAAAGGCGTCGATTATTTTAACAACATAGGTTAATTTTTGCTTCGTATAGGATCAGTAAAATATTCTCTGTAGGCAGGATCATTTATTAGCTTTAGGTAAGACTTAAAACATTTTTTAAAGGGACAAATCAAAGCATTTGTGGAAAAGATGAGACCGACTCCATTATTGTGTTTTGGATTTGCTTGAATTGTAATTTCAGATCCAAGTAAATGGAAACCTTCTTCACATGGAAACAGTTTCCAGTCTAAACACTGAAATTTGATAAAATAGCCGTGGAGCAGGAGGTCACGCCCGCTCCCATTCTGGAGTCGCTGCTCCCTCCATTATGTTCAGAGTGGAGCAGGCAGGGTTTAAAAGCAGCACGAGTCGGAGCTGTTGGTCAGATCAACAGCTGCTGCAATTCAATTCACTTTATTAATAAACTGAATTCACAACATGTCATCCAGTTCACCAGATCATCCAGTCAGATTGATTCAAAGTTTTCTATCTAAGGAAAACCAGCTGATTGCATCGACTCATTGACTCTTCAGCAATCC